TGGGTAGGTCGCTAAGAGAGTTTTTTCCTTGGAAAGGGACATCATGTTTGGAAAGGTAGAGGGCCAGTAAAAAAGAAGACGACTCTCAGTGAAATGTAGTGACAACAACTACAGCAATGGGCTCAAGTGTGTCACAGATGATGAACATAGCACAGGACAGGACACAGTTCTGATCTGGTGTTCATAGAGTTGCTATAAGCTGTACTCAACTCAATGGCATCTAACAACAACAATGACAACTTCTTCCCTCCTGTCTTAACAGCGTGTGTGGTCACGTAAAAATGTATTTGTACTGATATTAGTGGTGCTGAAAAGATATTTACTATAGGTGTTGAAAGTATCTAAGAACTACTTCCATATATGAATATCAATTTCCTAAATAATCTTAAAACTACCCATCTTTATATAGATATATACACACCCTAATGCTGAAATAGTTTTCAAATTGTCCATTATAGTATTTCACATCTGTCCTCATTCTTTGCATACAAAAGCAAAACAATTAAGGTATGATGGAATAATGGAGAAGTAAAATAGTATTGCAGCTTTTTTTTTGCAGAAGGTCAAGGACCATAGTCTTTAATATGAATTGAAGCTCAACATCAAGAATACAAAGATTCTCACCACTGGGCCAATTGGCAGCACCATGAGTGATGGAAGAGAGACTGAAGTTGTTAACCATTACAGCTTGCTTGGCTCCACAATCAATACCCTTGTCACCAGCAGTCAGAAAATCAAAAGACGAATTGCATTAGGTAAATCTGCTGTCAGGAAGCCTTCCAGAGTATGGAAAAGCAACAATGTCAGTCTAGAGACTATGATGCACCTGATGCAGGTCATGGTCTTCCCAGTTACTTGTTATGCATCAGAGAGCTGCATAATGACTAAAGATGACAGAAAAAGAATTGATGCCTTTGATTTGTGGTACAGGAGAAGAATCTTGAACATACCATAGACCGTCAAAAACCAAGCTGATCTGTGTTGCAGTGGGTGAAAACAAGTTTCTCCTTGGAGAGTATTGCAGCTTTAAAGTCACAACTTAAATTGAATACTATCTTTGTACCACTTCTTAACTATTTGACCTTATATAAGATACTTTTTAGAATTTCAACTGTTTACAGCTTCAGTTTGCTTGGCAATAAAATCAACACTCTTGGTACCAGCAGCCAGGAAATTAAAAGACGAATTGCACTGGGGAAGTCTGTTGTCAGAGACCTCTCCAAGGTACTAAGGAGGAACGATGTCAGTCTGGCGATTAAGGTGTGCCTGATACAGGCCATG